AAAGAAAACCTACTGACTGGGAAAAAATATTTGGCAATACCATCTCAGAAAAAAGTCTCATAACAAAAGTTTATAGAATACTCCTGGACCTCCACAAGAAAGTCTGATAACCCATTTATAAAATGGGCAAAAGACATGGAAAGAATCTTCACAGAGGAAGATATTCAAATGGCCAACAGACATATGAAGAAATGCTCCAAATCACTGGCAGCAAAAGAGATGCAAATCAAAACCACAACAAGATACCATCTCACTCCAGTAGCAGTGGCAAAGTTTATTAGGACAGCAAGTAATAAATGTTGGAGAGGATGTGATGAGATAGGAACTTTTTTACATTGTTGATGGGATTGTGTAATGGTACAACCACTCTGAAAGGCAGATTAGCATTTCTTCAAAAAGCTGCACGTAGAAAGAAATTCCATATGATCCTGCTATTCCACTGATCTCTTCTTGTATTCAAATCATCTGTAGTTTTATTTGCCACTTAGTCCAGGTATCATTTAGAGGCAAGGATAGTGAAACTTCATCTTATTTATTTTGGACATATTTTAAAGAGGAGTCAGTCCTTAAACAGAGATATCATGCCAGGAAAAGTAGAGGGTCACCGAAAGAGAAGAAGACCCTCAACAAGATGGACAGACTCAGTGGCTACCAAAATGGGCTTGAACATGAGAGATCACAAGCATGGTGTAGGATAGGGCAAGGTTCAGATCTCTGGTTTCTATGGTTGCTATGAGTGGTAGTCAACTTAATGGCACCTACCAATAATTATTCCTCAATTCCTGAGGAGTAATGATGTCAGCTTGAAGACTAAAGTGTGTCTGATTCAGGCCACAGTCTCTCTAATCACTTCCTATACATCTGAGAGCTGGACACTGAAAAAGATGACAGAAAAAGAATTGATGCCTTTGAGCTGTGGTGCTGGAGAAGAGCACTGAATATCCAATGGATGGCAAAAACAAACAAACAGAAAAAAAAAACCCCAAAACCAAACCCACAACCAAACCCCAAATATGTCTTGGAGAAAGTACAGCCAGAGTGCTCTTTGGAATCAAAGACGATAAAGATTCACCTCACATACTCTAGGCATTTTTCTAGGAGCAGCTATTTGTTGGAGTGGGATATAATGCTCTGAAAGGCAGAGGGTTGGCGAAAGAGAGGAAGACTCTCAACCAGGGGGACTGACTGCCGCAACATGCTCTAGTGTGTCAGGAGGAGTGAGGATGGCACAGGATAGGACAGCGTTCAGATCTGTTGTTCACAGGTTCACTACAGGTCGTACTCGACTCGACAGCACCTAACAGCAACACCACAAACCAACAATTATAAACCATGGATTTCTATTAACCCCTTGTAGCAATTCTGATTCTTCACTGTCTTCAACTAATAACTCCAGAAAAAGACAGTTGTCATTCTCACTGCCACATCCCCAGGCCCTAGAACATAAACCAAAACCTTTTGCTGCAAGTCAATTCCTGCTAGTAGTGACCCTTCAGGACATAGTAAAATGGCCCCATAGAGTCACCTCAGCTGTAATCTTTGCAAAAGCAGACTGCCATGCCTTTCTCCTGAAGAGCAGCTGGAAGGTGTGAATGGCACTCTTTCTGTTAACAGTCTTCTGGTCCCTAAGAAGTGCTCTATAAATCTCTTCTGAAGGTAAAAAGGATGATGTAATCTCTTATGGTCCTTTGCAGTTGTAGATCTATAATTACTTTGAACTCTTTTGAACAAACTGGTTTGTACAATGACTCAAAACTATGGTCATTTTCTAGATTCTGAGATTACAATCATGACACTTCAAAGGATGTACAATTGTGCCATCCATCAAACGACTGGGATGAATGAAATTGGACTTTTGGTTTTAAAGACTACACTCCCTAGAATAGGGTTCCCTTACATGGAATTCCTTTTCAGTTAGTACTAGAAGTCCCCACCTTGAACCCGTTTTGGAACTGGGGAAGGCATAAATTTCTATTCCATAAGTTGTATACTGATGTGTTTAAATCACGGGCCATTAAAGAAAACCTCACTCTTAGCTGCTTCTCCCAATAAAGAGTAGAGGATCATTTCTCTCTTGCATTTTGCCTTTTATTTGGTCTCAGTTACTGATTTGACCAATAAAACATAGTAGTATGTTGGGACTACATCATGAATAAAAATTTAAGCCTTGAAGCTTTTGCCCAGGTCTTTTGGGAATGTTCTCTCTGGACACCCAGTGGCCAAGCAAGATGGAGAAACTACCTGTAAGTGATGATTGAGCATAACCACCAGCCCAGCCCAGGCATGTGAGTGAAGACGCTAGCTTAGGAGTGAATCCTCCAGTGCAGCCACCTCGCTACTGTATGGTTCTGAGACAAGCCACCCAGCCAAGCCCTTCCTCAATTCATAACCCATAACATATAATTGTCTTAAACCACTGGGTTAGGAAGTAGTTTGTTACATAACAATAGAGTTTTACTTAAAAAAGAAATCACCACAGTAGAAAAGAAAAAAAAAAGCTAGACTGCTTCAGGCTTTATTAGTGAGTACATATTTAGAGGTATTTTTTTAAAAACCAACAAACCTCAAAGCTCAGTGTCCTAGTATCAGAAATGTCTGGTACTTAACTCTGCACTGAGTTTCCAGGCTGTCAGTCTCATGAATGAAGACTGCCCATCTCTCTCCTGCGGCGCTGCCAGGCGATCTGAACCCCCAGAGAGGCTCGAGCTCTGGCTTCCACACACTGCACCACCAGAGTTCTCTATTCTTTTTTATATATTTTACCAAAGCTCATTCAGATCAAGGCAGGAAACAACTAAAGGATCACCTTCAATATCACTACTGGCCCAGAACTCACACAAATGTCTTTTTCTCAATTATTCCTATAAACTAGAGCTTTGGAAATATAAATATGGCTCAAGGTATTCCCTATGTCCAGTGACTGCTCTACCCAGAGATCTGATTCTTAAAAAAGAGATTTGAGTTATTGAGATACAAACTTTGAATAATTCCTATTACTAGAACACAGGCCAACCAAAGTTATCTGACATTTATCCAATGCCCAGTCACAGCTTTCACTGGGATGCACAAGTTACAGAATTGTGTTACTGGGAAAATGGTACCTGTTTTCGTCAGTCCATCATTCTGAAGGCAAGGGGAGGAGGGGGAAAGAGCATTCTACTCCAAAAAACGTCACTAAACCCTAACAAACACTGGTAGGCTCTAAGCCAGAAATGAAAATGTGTGCAGTTCTATCACAAAGACTGACAGATCTAACTGCAGAACAATGACTGCTGGCCACACAAATTCAGGAATTTCTGAAATTATTCTCAGTCAGATGCTGCTAGAACAAAAACACTCCATGGTAGAGGGCCCTCTTCTTTGGAAAATCCTTTTGTTTGAACAAAGATGTTATTATGAAAACAAAAGCTTCCCAAAATGGAGAGGCATTTTCATCACTATCAGTATGAATATCTCTTTCCCCAACAATAGTCATTTTAGGATCTGAGGGTAAGCCGCTTCTAGGAAAGCACAAAGCTCACTTGCTGCCCCTCCTAGTCCCTCTTCCCTTATCTCTTCCAGTCATATTTGGCTCTCCAGGAAAATCCAGAACCGCTTCACATACTCAAGGAGGTAAAGGGGATAAACAGAAACACATATGGGGGGGGGGGGAAATCTATAGTAATAAATGTTCCAGAAAAGTGTCATTCTTTTTATACAAACTGTTACCTCAAAGTACACCTAATAATATTCCATCACCCATATTTTTCATAATTTACATTCACACTTTATACAGGTTGTTGTTGTTATGTGCCGTCGAGTTGTTTGCGACTCATAGTGACCGTATGTACAAAAGCCCTAAACTCTGCTCTGTCCTGTGCCAATCACACTGTCTATGACACTCCCATCCCAATTGTTCCAGTCACTGAATCAATCCACCTCATAGAGGGCCTTCCCCTCCTACGCTGTCCCTCCACCCTACCAAGCACAATGTCCTTCTCCAAGGACCTGTCCCTCCTTGCAACATGTCCAAAGTATGTTAAACGGAACCTCAGAATCCTTGCCTCCAAGGAGTAGCCTGGTTTAACCTTCTCCAAGATGAATGTTTGTTTTCCTAGCAGTTCATGGTACCCTCAATACTCTTCCCCAGCACCAAAGCTCAAAGGCATCAATTCTCCTTCTATCCTCCTTAGTCATTGTCCAACTCTCTGATGCATAACAAGCGATAGCAAAGACCATGGCCTGTATCAGACACACCTTAGTCTCCAAAGAGACACCATTGCTCTTCAGTACTTTGGAGTATACCTTATACCGGTATACAACTACTTAAAATTCAAGAAAAAATAACCCTTAAGAAACCCAAAGAAAACAAACCTTAAGAAAAACATCCTATAAGGAAAACTTAAGAATGTGATAATGGTAAATGCTTTTAAGAGAAATTATCATCTTCCAACTTTGTAAATACATATTTTACCATAAATTAATTCATGAAAAATAACATAAAATCCTATTAAAAGGAACCAAAATTGAAGGTCAACACTTAGGTCACTGGAGGATATGGAAATACATCTATTTTTAAAAAAAATAACTCCAGAATTTAATTAGAGAAAGGAAGATTAATAATCTTGGATAAGAATAAGGAAAAACAAACCATTTCCTTAACACAGAAATCCTTCCTTCAGCAGCAGTAAATCATCACGTCAGAATAGCCCATGTCTAAAACTATGTGTATTCATATACCACATTCACCATCAAATCTAACTATACTTAGGGGGAAATCACATTGAATTGAGGCCAGGGCTGCACAGCCAATTAACTGTAAGCACTATCAGGAAGGTGTACACATATGAAAAGTTGAAATGGCAAAAGTTGTGTGATACATTTACAAAAAATAGTTGATACTAACTGCTTACATACAACCTCACATATTTGGATTCTTAGTTTGCAAGTTTAAAATCATGGTTTCATCGGAGATCCCAGTAAATTGGCCTAGTTTCTATTATACCTCCTACTTTGCTTTGTAGTTGCCAGGATTTTAAAACTTTGCAAAGGGCCATCAAAGTAAAACAATTGTACTTTATTATCCTGAGGCAACAGAGGAAGAAGGAGAATTAGGAATAGGAGAAGGAAATGGAATGTGTCACTAATTATTTCTATTAACAGCTGCCTCTTTTGCCAGGAACTCAATGGTGTCCAGCTCCATTATTGAACATTTTGATGGAAAATTCTATACAAGAACCCTGATCAAATAGGGGGAAACGCAAAATAAATTTTCAGATTCTCATGGAATTTACCTTTCTGATGCCCTGACAACCACACAGTAGTTGTCGCTGTAGCTGTGGAGACAGAGGGAACTTCGGAGGTGTAGTCCACACAGAGGTGCACCGCTAGCCCACAGGCCATGTGTCTCTGGCAGTTTAAATCTACTAACAGCTCAGAAGAGAAAGAAAGGCAATCTCCTCTCATGTCATTTATGGCTTCAGAAACGCAACAACTATGAGTCGGTTCCCACTTGATGGCAATGACTTTGACTTTCTGAGTAGGTAATGAATGTTTGCTTTGAGCAATGTGTTCTTTCAAGAACTCTAAGAGCTCGGACTGAAATAGCACATCAAAATACTAGCTTTGAAATTTAGAGGACAGTGATTTTATGTGAAGGAGCCTTTGCTGTGTAGTAGGTAATGTGTCAGTCAGCTAACCAAAAACTCAGGGAATGGAGTCCATCACCCAAGCACTCAGTGGGAGACAGACAGACTATCTCCTCCTGCGAAGACTTAAAGGGGCGGGAAGCTCCTGGGGGTGTGCTATCAGTCAGAACAGACTCCATGGCCAAGGTTTGGTTTGTGAGTTGAGTTTATACTGAGTTGGGTTGAGGAGGAACAATTCAGAAAAAGAGGATGGGAATGGCCACACGACTTGAAGAGTGTAATCAGTATCACTGAATTGTGCCTACATACATTGCTGAATTGGCGTATGTTCTGCTCAACAAGAACCACTGAAACATTTAAAAAGAAAACAAATATGCTTGCATTTTGGTTCTGAACCATTGACAATCAATAAAATGAAAGCAAATTAAAGAGGAATTTAAGAAATGGAGCAGAATACATAAATCACGCTCTTTTTGTTTAAATGAACATATTAGAGGCTCCATCTCTTCGAGCTCTGAAAGCTGTTACATAGATGTTAAATTCTAAAGAAAAAGAGTGTTTTTTTAGGTTAATAATGAAAGTAGGTTTGACTAAATGCCAAATCACATGATGCTAAGTTTCTCATACCTTCTCTCTATCCAAGAAAGTCAAGCCCTGCTTAAAGTCTTCTCTGATGCAAAACTACAACTGATAGGTGAAACGAATGTATCTCAAATTCATTCCTTCAAATCTTAAGGGTGATCTATCACATGCGGGCAGACAAGACCCTGAATACTGTCTACCAGTATATGGAGAACTTATCTTTCTCATCTAAAATGGTCATATATTTTATTTAAAAAAGCCTTTAACCTAATATAATTGGGGGGGAGAATACGTGATATACAGAAATTTAATTATAAGATTCTCCTTAAAGTCCCAAATATGGAAATAATTTTTTAAAATAATTTTAAGCATTAATTTTTGTTTGTTAGTTAACAAATGGTCCTTTGTTGAAATCTTTTCATCTGTAATTCTTAGCTAGCTGGGCATTCCACAGTACCACTGTTGATGTCATCTATGATGATCTCCTCAATAGTTCCAGAGAGTTCTCTGGCTAAAGACCAGTGTGGCGTCTGCCGGCAATGCCAACAATCTCATCCTCAGTGATCCTTCTGCTCTGTTTCCTTCTTTTTCTGGCTGGGTCCTCAGAGGCACAAGGCACCACCTCATTCTGGACCTGTCCACTCTGAATGGTCAGTTTCACAACAACCCTTAGTCTTTTCCAGTTGCCAGTGACCTTAGAAATGTCATCCCCAACCTCTTTTGGAGACAGACCTAAGGGGCCAATCTTGGGGGCCAGAGCAGATGTGGCACCGACTTCCCCACTGGTACACCTCGGGTACACAACTAAGATCTTTTTGGGGTCAAATTTGGACAGCATAGCAGAGGGTCCTGATGCTGGTTAAACCCAGATGTAGGATGACTGAAAAAAGCTCCACTAAAGCCTCCTCTGACCCAAGAGCCACAAATCAAATCAATGAAATAACTTTTTGCAATTTCAAGAAACTTTGTGATAATCTAATCAATTCATAAATGTGTTTAACAAATAATTATTGATACCTCATTAAATATACAAAGGCACAACTTTGCTTGTTGAAAGTGTCAAGGACTTGAAACATTTGTTGATAAAGTTGTTATTGTAGTTGTTAAGTGCCATCGAGATGAGCACAACTCGCAGTGACCCTATCTATGAACACAAGATCTGAGCCCTGTTCTACCTTGCACCTTCCTGCCACCAAGAGCCCTTACAGCAGTAACTGCATCAATCCACCAGGTCGAGGGTTTTCCTCTCCTCCACTGACCTTCCACCCTTCCTATCATCATGTCTTCCTCCTAACACCATCCCCAAAGTACATGAGGCGAACCTCATCATTCTTGTCTCCAGAGAGCACTCTGGTTGCACACTCTCCAAGACATATCTGTTTGTTCTGTTGGTCGTCCATGGGATGTTCAATGCTCTTCTCCAACATGTGAGCTCAAAGGCATCAATTCTTTTCCTATCATCTTTATTCATTGTCCAGCTCTCAGATGCATAGCAAGTGACTGAAACGACCATGGCCTGAATCAGATGCACTTGAAACATTTATTTATGAAGAATCAAAAATTACAGCCTTCAGTATGAACTCAGTATAAAAAAAAA